AGAGGGGATGATTCCCTAAAAAATCTCTTTTGGATGGGTGGGAGTGGTTGTGGGGTGATCACATCAGCAAGGACACAATTCCTTCATCCCCTTCCTTATGGAATTCAGAATTCCTTATGGAATTCAAAATGAATGGAATTCAGATTTTCATCCCTGGAAATCTGAGCTCCACAAATTAAAATCCACCCTTGAAATGCTGGAAAATCCCAAATCCAGGCTGAGCAAGGATTCCTTTCCCTGTCCCAAGTTGTTCTAACTTGGAATATTTCCAGGGATGGAGCAGAGGGGATGATTCCCTAAAAAAATCTCTTTTGGATGGGTGGGAGTGGTTGTGGGGTGATCACATCAGCAAGGACACAATTCCTTCATTCCCTCTTCCTGTGGGATTCCAAAATGCTGTCCCTGGAAATCTGAGCTCCATAAATAAAAATCCACCCTTGAAATCCTGGAAAATCCCAAATCCAACTGAGCAGGGATTCCTTTCCCTGTCCCAAGTTGCTCTAACCTGGAACATTTCCAGGGATGGAGCAGAGGGGATGATTCCCTAAAAAAATCTCTTTTCTGGATGATTTGGAGTGGTTGTGGGGTGATCACATCAGCAAGGACACAATTCCTTCATCCCCTTCCCTATGGAATTCAGAATTCCTTATGGAATTCAAAATGAATGGAATTCAAATTTTCATCCCTGGAAATCTGAGCTCCACAAATAAAAATCCACCCTTGAAATGCTGGAAAATCCCAAATCCAGCTCAGCAGGTATTCCTTCCCCTATCCCAAGTTGTTCTAACCTGGAACATTTCCAGGGATGGAGCAGAGGGGATGATTCCCTAAAAAATCTCTTTTGGGTGGGTGGGAATGGTTGTGGGGTGATCACATCAGCAAGGACACAATTCCTTCATTCCCTCTTCCTGTGGGATTCCAAAATGCTGCCCCTGGAAATCTGAGCTCCACAAATAAAAATCCACCTGGAAAATCCCAAATCCAGGCTGAGCAAAGGGCACAAAGGGCTCAGAGGTGCCTCCTCTGGGTGCTGATTTCTCCTTTCCCCCAGAGAACAACGAGCCCTACATGAAGATTCCCTGCAGCGACTCCAAGATCACCAGCGCCGTGTGGGGCCCGCTCGGGGAGTTCATCATTGCCGGCCATGAGAACGGGGA